AAGTTCAACTCATAAGCATACTTGAGGAAAAAGGAAGAAGAAAATTTTGCATGCAAAGAAACATTACATAGCCAAGTTTCTTCCAAATTTTTAAGGTCTATTTCCTACGCAGCTTTCTCTGATTGGTGGCGATAATTAGAAGAATGAAGATTAATCTCTAAACTTTTGATCTGCTGTTTGGCATTGTCAAGTGCAGCATCTCTAGTATAAAGCATAGTGAATAATTTCAGAATAGAATTCAAGCCACAAAAGGTGAACATAATGTTCTGACTTGGCAAAAGCCTAAAATTCAACATATATTTTTGGCATCCCTTTTTTCTTATCATGGGTTTTAACTTATGATGCTACCTTTCTGCAATTTCTTTGTCATGATAGCATAAAACATCCTGAAGATCTTGACGTACCCTATCCCTTTCTGCAGATACCAATGACAATTCTTTTTCTACTTCCTGCAGCAATCAAAGAAATGTTTATCTTATCTTTTGATGAATGATTAAATGTAAATAACAAAATTATAATTATCTTGTATTACAATATTATACTTTTAATGCTTCTTCAAGTGCTTTTGTTTGTTCAGACTCTTTAGCTGCTGCTAGTTCTGCATCCTTTTTCTGGAGAAGTGCGTGTGCACGAATTTTATAAGAGGAAAATTCGCTTCCAAGACGGCTAATCTGCAAAACAAGAAGCAGGACATGTAAGGTTCTGCCACATATTTATGTGTCCGTTGTGAGCATAATTCAGCTCATCCTTAAACAACAAAAACATCTTGTGGAGGTCATGCAGAACCAAAATAAGAATTGCGAGGAAAAATTGAGATGCAGATAAAGTTGAACCTCTTCTTTGGCTGCTGCTAGCTCAGCTTCTTTAGTACTTAGTATCTGGGTTTGCAGAGATACCTCTAATTCCAGCTGACCTATCCAACAAGTAAAATGAATTTTCATTTTCTTGCAGATAAGTAACGAAATTTAAATTACAAAGGTTCTCTCTGAAATGTTTATACTTCTCATTTTAGCAGCTTCTATTTCAGCACGAATGCAGTTACTCTCAGCAGCTTCCAGTTTTGTTTTGAATTCCTGAGAGGCAGCTTCCCAGCTCTCCTTTTCCTTTTCCTGAAATATCACATTTTGTTGATGATAAGGAAAACAAATGTTAACCCACTATATTTGTGAATAATAGTAATTAAATTGTTTTCACTAAATGACATTTACTTATTTGAAGAGTTTGATTCATACGTGCTCAAGTTTCACATATGCAGGCTCCCCTCTTATAGATTCCACATCCACAGCAGCTCTTAATTGTGCAGCTTCGCCAGTCGAAGCTGCATCAATCTCGGCAATTTTAGACTCTTTCTCTGCCAAAAGCACCTGCAAAAGTATGTACCCATAATGCTCGCTAAACCTAGATATGAAGCACAGAATGAAAAAGAACAAGCCAAAGAATCTCTGTCTATAACTCCCCCCCCCTTTTTTTTCCTAACCCACACAAAAGATAATAACTTAATTCTTTGGGAAGAATGTATTCAATTTCCAACTAGGAAAAAATGAGGTGACAATAAATCTTACCTGCAGGGAAGAAATTGTTTCAGTGGCCTTAGTTCTATCGGATAAAGCATAAGCTAGTTGTGCTTCCAAGCTTTCTATATTCTGAAGAAGAAGAGAGAAGCATCAAGAAACCAAAGCACCACTCTTGCAAGCTATGAAGGAAAGAAAAGAAAGCTCTGTGCATCTTAACCATCATCGAAACATTATACATCTGGATGTCCAACTTACCTTCTGATGTTTAGCAGCTACCTCCACCACCAAAGCTTGCCTTTTTTCATCTGCAAGTTGCAGTAGTCCTTGCATATCTTCTAACATCTAAAATGTGAGCATGTATAAGATAGGCACCATCAAGAATTTCGGCAGTAAAATACACTAGGAATACAAAGCAACAAAACATAAATCCATCCATAGGAACTGATGTTGTTAACTCTGTTTCATTGTCAGAGGTTCGCACATGAAGTTACCAAGTATAAGCACTTAATCAAATTGATGATAATTAGTTCAGAGTAGGTTTACAGTCTTCCAAAAAGCAAACATAAATAATATCTATTGATATTCAAACACACGAAATATTATTCAGAACCAAACACATTAAATTCTATGCACGTAAAACTATAGTACCTGCTCTTTCTCTAAAACTGATTGTTGCAACGTTTCAATTGTATATTCTTTAGGTTGCATTGAACGGCGCAATTCCTCAATATTGTGTAGGAGTCTAGGTATTTATGGCATCAGAATTAGAAAAAAAATGATAAATAAGGAATAAAACTCTATAGAATCTATCAGTTGGTGTTAAGACAATGAGATTCATAATGAAGGATAAGTGCATTTTTTTAGGTTCGACTTCGTTGTTAAAATTATGTAGTTCAACAATGACTATACTTATTGTTTGCACTTCGTAATTGCTGTCTCTCTGCATCCATTGCTTTCAATGCTTCATTTGCTTGTTGACGTGTGCACTCAAGCTCTTGCTGCAGACCTGACTGTTGGGATGATGCTTTCTCAAGTGATTCATTAACTTCACGAAGCCTGGCCTCAATGTCATCTTTTTCCTGAAAATAACAATCCCCGAACAAAAATCTAACTTAGTTCCTATGCAAACATAAAGCCTACCTTCCATTATTTCTATTGATATAAAATTTTAACAACGTTAAATAAATAATCAAAGGACAAAATTCACCTTCTGAACCTCTTGAATGCGCTGTTTCGCACGTTTGTGAAGCCGGTTAAATTTGGAGTCAAGCTCATTGTACGTACTTCTCCTCACGCTCTTTTATTTATTGGTCCAACTTCTTTTGAGCTACAACATGATCAATGGTATATGCTCAAGGGTCAGAACAGACTTAGCAGAAATAAACACATATTACACTAAAAACAGAGTGATCCTTCTTTTGTTATCTGAGATGTTCTTAGAGAAAAAAAAGGTTTTGGTTTAGAAGTTTACATTGAGCCAATTTTACAGAGAAAAATCCTTTAATATTTTCAAAATATAAATACGACGCAAGTTTTAATAATGGACTCCTCTGACCTTCAGCAAGCTTTCCAGAGAGTTCCAGAGAGTTCTTGGCAAGCTTTCCAGATGCTTTAAAGCCTCTTCTGCTGCAGCTCTTATTAGTTTTTCTTCATTAAGTTCTCTGCTCAAAGATTCTATTCTATCATGCAGTTCTTTTATGTCAGCTGAATACTCAGTTTCCTTCCTGCTTTCATTAGTTTGTAGGGATGGAACATCATGTTCTGATTGGACATTTTTTAAGCTCTCCAGCTGAGACTTTAGGAATTCATTCTCGAATTTGAGTTCAGTAACTGTCTGTAAAAGCTTATCATGAGTGTCGTTCGAACTCAAGTTGGCATCTAACCCAGCATTTTCCTTGGAAAGTTTCCATTTTTTCAGACAACTGTGTCTCATGATTCAAAGAATCATCATCTTCCTGAGTTTCAAGCTCTTGAATAACCTCCTCAACTCCCTCTCCAGACATTACCACACTCTGTGTAAGAACAGCACGACACACATCAGCAGGAATCTGAATATTATAAATAAAAAACTAATTTCGAAGCTATTAACCATAGAATGGCAATTCAGGCAGGTAATTAGCAGCAAACGTTCTTTAAGAGCTATTGGAAGCTGAATGTACGATAGAGACAAAAGTCAACATTCAAGTAATGCTCTCAACCGGCAACCGCTCGTTCTTTGATCAAGGTGAATCTAAGATGAGAAACTTCCCCGGAGTCTAAATTTTCTCCTATGCTTTTATAAATCATGCAAGAAGAAACCATAAACTCTAAAGCAAACGACAATGATCTTATAGATGTCATTCAATTTGGCGGAAATGGAAGTCGGTGAATCAAATTTTCAAAGGAAATTCAGAAAAGGGCATGTATTAGATCCGAATTAGAAACAAATAAGTAGGAACTGTGTACCTTTGAATATGTGGAATGAGAGAATATGAGGATCGATTCGATCACTGGTTTAAAATTGAATTCAATTCTATGAAGTTCCAGCTTCGATCTAGATTTGAAATCCCATACTTAAAATTAGGTTTTAGCTCTATTGCGTTTCTTTAATTTGACATAGAAATGTTTGAATTTATTCATATTTATTTTTAAGATTGAGTGATTAATGGATTGTAAGAAAGCCAATTCTTCGCATTGAAAAAAAAATTAGTTAGCAGCAATCCTTCTAATTCAATTGTTTTTAGTCTTTAAGCATAAACCAAATGATCTGGTTGTCATCGGCATCTTCGGCAGCGGCAACGACTGCTAAACCGATGTCGTTCACATCCAAGCAGATCCAACAAAAAATAAACAAAAACAAAAAAATTAAAAATAAACAAAAAACAAAAAAAAATCAAAGAATCTTGTAAAAGAGGGTGAAGAAGAAAGAAATGAAGGTGAATAAGAAGAACGGAAGGAAGCATCAGCACTTTCGATTCAAAATGAACGGAAGGAAGCTTCTAAGTATACTGCTAACATTCTCTCTACTTCTTCTTCTGCTCCTCTTCTGATCGTGAACAGACTTGCACTCTAATCTTGTCACGAAACATTTCAAAAGCTGAACAATTGAAAAGATGAACAATTGAGTCGAAAGTGTTGATGCTTCCTTCCGTTCACTTTGAATCGAAAGTGTCGATGCTTCCTTTCGTTCTTCTTGAATCGAAAGTGTCGATGCTTCCTTCCGTTCACTTTGAATCGAAAGTGTTGATGCTTCCTTTCGTACTTCTTATTCACCTTCATTTCTTTCTTCTTCACCCTCTTTTACAAGGTTCCTTGAATTTTTTTTATGGACTCTTAGTTGTGAAGCTTTCAAGTCTCATGACACTTTGAGATAGAAGTAACAAAAGTAACAAAATGAATACAAAATTAAACTTCTGTTTACACACAAAAGAATTATACTACTATGCAGAAATAGCGGTGATAGCCTTGCCATTGGCACCAGTATAGAAATTGGATTCTGTTCAACATCTACCCTTCAAGCACCAACCTGACCAAAAAGAGCCACTTGTGTATCTCTGGAAGCTTTTTATTGAATGCAACATCCAACCGTGCATCCAAGGTGTTCTCACAAACAATCTTTCCATCTCTAAAACATTGTACCTGCACAACATTCCTGAATCAGCGCCCTCAATTAGTTTCTTTTTCACCCACAGGTCCCAACCAGTCAACCAACACGGTTCCATTCTCATCCACGGGCCTCTTTCCCGTAGCCACCTCCAGGACAACCACTCCGAAGCTGTAAACGTCGATTTTCACAGTCGGAACACTGGTATAAACGTACTCGGGTGCCAGATATCCTATCGTCCCGGCTGGTATCGTTGCATCTCTTGAAACACAACATGTTCGTACACTTCGACTAAACCGAAATCTCCGAGCTTGGCATTGAACTCGTCATCAAGCATGATGTTGCAAGTTTTCACATCTCTGTGTATTATCTGTCTTTCACATTCTTCATGTAAAAATGAGCAGAAGCAACCCCGAGAACTACCTTTAATCTCAAGCTCCATGAAAGGGTAGTTGTTGATGAAACTGAGGTTTTGTGAATGTGTTGGTAGAGGCTTCCATTGGACAAGTACTCATAGACCAAGACCAACTCAGATTCCTCACAACACCATCCTTGAAGCTGAATCAAGTTACAGTGGTTTAGCCAACCGGCCATAATGGCAAACTCTGTGTTGAAAAGATTACGAGTGAATGCTTTTCCGTTGAACTGATCGAATCGCTTCACCGCGACGTTTCCAGCCGACGGAACATAACCTTTATAAACAACTGCTGACCACCTTGTCGATGATTCGGCTCTTATAAAACCCCATTGTAGCTGATTTTATCTCTGCAAGTGACCATCTTGTTGGTACATTGTTCGTTTGAACTCTAGGAATTGCACTCTTGATTCCTTTTGCCAAACCACTCTTCTTCCTCACCGCAAAGAAACAAAATGGAACTGCTGTTACATCAACTGAAACAGAGATCTCGTTAGCTCTCTCCTCCGCTTCTTGGCAGATGAAGCTCACCATTTGTTGGATCTGCTTGGATGTGAACGACACCGGTTTAGCAGCCGCTGTCGAAGATGCCGATGACATTTTCCTCCTCTTCCATGCAGCGAAAGAAAACAAAATAAAGTCAGGATCGTTTGACGAATGATACCATATTGGAAATGTGAATAACAGAGGAATATAATCTGGATATTGCTATTATGTAAAACGTGTGTTTGAGTACAAGATTGATGCTCCTATATACTACTACTCTTAGCTGTATCAGCTGCTAATACAACCACCTTAACTGAGCAACTAACTAAAACTAACTTGCTAACAACCTTAGCTGTTATAACAGCTTCATCTTCAGGAAGCTTCTAAGTATACTGCTAACACTGGTTACGGACTATAGTAACACGGTGTTCTTCAAAAGATATCGTTTCTCCCTATTGAAATTTGAAACACTCTTGGATATCCACACCAGCTGAAAGAAGAGACAATTCAAGGGTTGAAACTAGATCAGTCATGTTGTGATGGTTGTCACCATCGTTGGAACTCTCGGTTCTTTGAATGGAGCTTTGAGCTCCAACGGAATGTCTGTTCTTGAAGGATTCAAAGCTATGTCTTCCAGACCGAACCAGGCTCCTCCAATGTACTCGGATCTTCGTAAAGCTCGTATATAGATTCAGCTCCTGGGTTCATCTTGCTCACATTCCTCAAGCATTTTACTCCTCTGGGTCTATCAGCAACTTGCTTTCAGCTGGCATGATCAACAAGTTGGCAATATCTTGGAAATGCACTGCAAACATTTTATGGGACTTTAACTGCGACTTTACTCCCCTGCTCTTTCACCATTATAGCTCTCCTGCAAACTCCCAAACACATTTATACATGTATGCATGTATGTATGTATGTTTGTATGTATGTAAGCCATGTGTTCTTCTGCAGCATTACCTTATTCCCCTAACAACAGCTAGATATGCATCACAAACCACCCCAACCAGCTCTATTCTGTATGGTTTCCTATATGTCTCATTACCATTTTCTTGTTGATTGTCTTCCTCTCCTTTAACCTTCTGTATGGTTTCCTATATGTCTCATTACCATTTTCTTGTTGATTGTCTTCCTCTCCTTTAACCTGCTCCCAATAGTTCTCGGTGATGGTACCGTCACCTGCGACTTTGTAGCCGACCCCCATTCGGTATTGGTGTTTGTGAACGTTTCGTGCCATGGCGATCGTCTGCTCGACGAAAGGCTCCCATGATAGCGTCCCGTCCATTACCACGTCACGACCTTCGTTCAATGCCGTCACCAGCAGCGACGATGCGGCATCCGTCGAGGATTGATGAACCTGATTATATATGTATACATATTAAAATGTAAGTTATTTAAGAGGAAATTGAACTTCTTACTAGTTCAGCTGTTTGTAGCCTATCATCATGGTGACACCTAGCTTAAAGCTCTGTAATGACATCGGTTTCTTTAAAAGCCTCCGCCTCTACGACCACCGCATTTGCTGCCGCTCCCCGCCCAAAATGATCTGCAAATGTCCCCCTTACGACATCAAATACTCCGATCAAAGTAATAAAAGAAAAATGAAAACGGGCTTACTCTTTGAGTATATCTTTGAGAACTGTGCTTTTTCCGGCACCCATACCGCCGCCCTGAGCAGCAGGACGGGGCTGCGCTTGCTATGGTCCACTGGGACCATTACGTCGGTGTAATTAGAATCGTCGTCCACGCGTCCCATGGCTTTCATCTCTTCAACCAACGTTGCGAAACTCGAGTTTATTTTCAAATGTTTGGTCACCGTCTCAACTCTTTTTCCTATGATAATCATATCATAAAAATTCTTCAAAATTTACTTGTTTGTTTATTTTTTCATCTATTTTTCAATATACTTTTCATTTTACTATAAGAGAAAATTTTTGATTTATTTTAGGCATATAGCAATAGTATTTTACTCTCTTTATCATCATTTTCTTTTGTTTTCTTTTTATCTCTTTTTAATAAATATATGTTTATCATGAAACAAGTTTTTTAACTCTTATCTAAGCGGTGAAAGAATTTATTATTATCTTTTGAAGTCTCGAGTTCAAACATCACTTTATAAGAGTATAAATATTTATTGTCAAATAGTTGAGAGTCATTCCACCCCAGATTTATAAAAAAATATTTTAAACATTAAAATTATAAGATTTGATATATATATATATATATATATATATATACTAATCTAGAATTATTACAATATAATATTTATTTTAAAGATTCTCTACCATTAACGATGAAAATTCAAACAGTTTCTTGTACTCGAATTTGAAATCTCTATCAATAACCACCCTTTGATATTTTTTAACTTGCTTTTGTAATAGGAAATTTATATTTTAATTTCTGCATGAAAGTTTTTATCCTTACGTTAGAAAATGTGATTTAGAGAAATTAACTTTTCATAAGTTATAAGTACAAGAAAAGAATACTATCCTTCAATAATTCAATATTGCATATTATGATGATTCATATACTTTATATTATAAAAAGTTGGGTAGTTAATTGCTTGTAGGTTGTAACTTCAATGATAATGTTTTGAAGCTTTTTATCCATTTATCCCATGTGCTTGTTAGGAGTATTCGTTTGGATTAAAAAAAAAACAAAGTAAATGGAACGAGGAAAAGGTTAAAGAAATAAATACTAATAAATTTATTTTTATTCAGTTAATTGTAATATATGTCCTCAAACTATAACCCCTATATTAAATTAGTCCTTAACTTTTAAATATTTTAATTTTTTCTTCAATTATGACACTAATTCTAAATAATCCTTAAACTTTTGAACATTCTAATTCCATCCATAAACTATGATCCTCTTTCTAAAATAGTCCTTAAACTTTTGAACATACTAATTTCATCCCAAAACTATGGCTCTCTTTCTAATTAGTCCCCAATTTTTAAATATTTCAATTTCATCCTTAAATTCATTATAATTAGTTTCAACCATAATTTTAACCTAAATTTTGTTTTTTTCTTCAACATATAATAATATAACTTCCTGTTAGTTTTAAAAAGCGCGACTAGGCTATGGTGGGCGTCGGAAAAATTGCCTCAGCGGCCAGACAGGCAGTGAACGGCGCGCGCGCTTTTCCAGATAGCACAGGCGCAAGTGCTTCTGCACCTTTGGGAGGGAAAAATAATTTAAAAAGCCAGTCCCCTGCCTCCCCGTCACCACAGCGCAGCCACCATGCCGCCGTTGCACGCTGCCATTACCGACTGTCAACCAACAGGTCATTTCTCTTCTCTCCGTCGCACACACACTCTCTATTTTTTTTCTTGTTTTTGTTCATTTCTGCCCAACCGATTATCTCTAAAAATGTGAAGCAGAGAAGAGATCTGCCAGTCGGCTATATTATAGCCGAGTAGAGTGAATTATAAACATTTAATGCATTCTCTTTCCCAACTTATACAGGTACAATAATAAATAATAGTATTAATCTCCTCTTTTTTCCCCAATATGCTATTTAATATATTATCTTTTCCCCATATATACAATAACTAATAATATTAATGTCATCTTCTTTTCTCAATATGCTATTTATTACATTATCTTTTCCCAAATTATACAGTAATTAATACTTAATATATTATCTTTTATCTATATTTGTTGAATTTAATTTAATTATTTGAACATTTACCATATGATTATGTTATTAATATTGAATACTTATATTGATCACCATTTTGTTTTGAGTAAAAATATGTTTATAATTGATATATATATTTTTTAGTACAAAAGTGTGTCTCGCCTACAAAAGACACACGCCTTTGCCCTACGCCTAGGTTCCAACTACGCTTGGCCTAACGATTTTATTAACAATGGATGTGATTAGTATATGCGTGTAATTTGAGATGAAATTAGAATGTCAGAAAGCTTTGGGGCCATTTTAGAATGAAGATTATAGTTTTGGGGATGAAATTGAAATTTCAAAGTTTGAGGACTAATTTAGAATGATAGTTTATAGTTAAGAATGAATAAAAATATTTAAAAGTTAAGGGACTATTGAAAATGAGTAATACTTTGAGGATATGTGATGAATTAACTTATTTTTATTTAAATAGTTAAAATTAGGGTTATATTATTTAATCCCTAAATTTATATTTCATTTTTATTTTAATATTTAATGTGTGATATAGTTACTTCATTATTATTTCATTTCAAAAAAATCTGTGATATTTTAAGAACGAATCATATACTCATAATATATATTAAGTTAAAAATTCTTTAAAAATTATTCAATTTTTAAAAATAACCCTAATTCCTAAAGTAATAACAACTATATGTATAGATTAAAAACATAAATTTCAATATATATGAACCGGTAAGTATGCGTGGTTAACTCTGGTTTGGTTAGGTCAACTACGGTTTAATAGGTTAACATTAGCATATATTATATTATATTTTGATTAGTTTTTAAATATTATATTACAATCATGTCTGATAATGACAGTGATTTTTACAATAAATTAATGAATGCATGGATCATGAGATCAAACATTATCCTGAAAATTAGGAAAATAATAATGTCGTGCATATATTTTAATTAAATAATTAACCACTGCATTAATTATTGTCTCTGCAGAAAAATTTTAGAATGTATATTATACGCTGGAATGCACTTTTAATTTTATACGGTAAATTTTTTAAATGATCACTAGATTATATTAAAATATTTTTTCACTTTTAAAAACTATAATATACATTAATTTTATTATAAATAAATATTGCATCTTTAATTATCATTAAGGTATCGTGACATATTAAATTATAAAAAATATCTCATTTGATTCTTCAATTATGCTTAAAATTTTTTTTATAATTTTTTTAATAGTGGGTGAAACCTAACATTAAATGATTTAAAAAAATAATTAAGTGATCAAAACGGAACCAAGAAATAGGTGGGTGATTAAATACGTAATTTACCCTTGAACATATAAGAATATCAATGAGAATGAAATAGAAGTCTGGGTCTCACCTTGTTGCTGCCATTACAAAGTCCTTCAGCTTTGTTTTCTTCTCGGATTTATCACTCAAAACCTGCCATTCAACCAACTCCA